AGATTTCACCTCAAGTACAAGAAAATCACGTCTTACGCCAGCTTGAATGTTGTCCTACTTAAGTTGTATATTATGATGCGTCAATGCCGGGTCTATCATCTCCAGTGGAAAGGCTACCTTTTATCGCCATATTTGAATGCATCTCGTCGAGGTTAGTCACCGTAAATGACATTTACGAGAATAATTTCTTTTTTTAACTTGGTGATTAAATGATTCAATTTAAAAGCTCAAACGTAATAATTCAAAGTACGCCCTACAGGGTAAAAACCTTTTGGATGTAATAGCGGAATAAGTTTTCCTTGGATCGACCAAACCTTTCTTCATTGGGTCTTGAATTACGGACCTTGCTGCGCTGCGCCGAGGGATATTCCGTTTGGCCACCTACACTCAGTAAATAAGCGCATATCACTTTTTCTTGTAGGAAACCAAGAACGCGCTTAGTAGCGACTAGGCTAAGTCAGCATTTCCGAGGAACGTCTTTACACCTGACTAAATGCAAGTCAGGAGATCGCTGCCTTTTAGTAAGGAGAGACTCAAGAGAACACGTTAGTGAAAAATTGACAGTTTTACACATTACAAACTGCCTTTACCCTTAAAATCGACAAAGTCGCCGAAGACCTTGATAGAGACTTAAGAAACGGCCTAGTTGAAAGTTTGGCTAGGAGTACGTCATTGCCTGCTCTCGCCCTAACGATAAAAAAGAACGGCAGATACCTGAGTGAAGATTGGGGAAAAGTTCATGGTGAAGATTTAGCGAGGAGCACGTCATTGCCTGCTTTCTCCCTAACGATCAACAACCACGACAGATACCTGAGTGAAAATTGGGTTAAAAACGCTATGGAATAACATGATGGGCAAAGATACTGAATAGAAAAAAGGGTGTTTTTCTCGAAAAGCGAGTGAATATATACAATCCAAACGAGAGTATCAAGTACAGCATGATCAACAGTTATCATTTATAGTTTATACCGCACGTATTCAAATGTAAAAAGTGAATATTTCCTTTTTAAGATATTACACCATAAATTACATGCCAGAGTGAAAATATACATAAAAACATTTGCCATAATCCGTTACTGGATGCGTTTCATTGTTAAATATTATTTGATACTTGGCATAGAAAATGTATAACCTTTGTTAATATAAAACATTTTGAACTTTTTACAACAGCGACTAACACAAATGTAAAACTTTTTGATTGTGCTCTTGGGTGCTTCCAAATCTCTAACTAAGCACTCTGTCGAAAACCCAATGTTAAAGTTGGTTGACAAGTCCGCTGTTTTCCGGCCTATTGATTGTGAGTGGAACATAGTAAGGATATTTAAACCTTAAACTCACATAAGTGATGAACATGAAACTTCTCCCTATAACTTCCGTACATTATCCATCAAACAGGTAATGAGAATACTCGAACTTATCAAGTTGTTATCTTGATCTTACACCAATATCTCAAAACTAATTTACTAGGAAATATGTAGCAGCTGTAGCAGCTTCCGTCACTTATTTGTAATCTCGAGCTTACCCCCTGATTAAGAATCATTGACATTTTGAAGAATTGCTTTAACAAGATAGGGAACCTTGACATTCTAGTTTTATAAGGTAGACATAAGTAAACATTAAAGAAAGAAGCAAAAATCCAAAAGAGAAGACTGAAACGGTATGGAATTAACAGTTTATTGAGTATTAAGTTATTAAATCTAATCGTTTCTTTATTCAT